AATATCCTTATATAAACATTCGGTGAAAATTGCATGTATCTATTTGGTCATTTGTTTTAAAATTACATMAAAAACCATAATCGATTTTGTCGAAAAATTTCCCATTTTCCCTTAATTTTTAGTTTGTTTTTCTCGATTATTTAGAAAATTATTAAGAATTTTTCACTTTTGACCCCCCCACCCCAAAGTACCAACTATAGATTCGCTTTCTGATCGAACGAGGTACTGAAGTCAAAAATCTAAGCACTTTTACTAGTTTTACTGCTCCAAAAAAATTTCAGCTAAATCGAAGCCGTTCACTGATGGTGAATTTATAAAAGAGTGTATGGAGGCCGCCTCTGAAATTGTATGTCCAGCACAAAAACAACTTTTTTCCAAATTGATTTTATCAGGGGTAACTGTAGCAAGGCGTATAGAAAACTAGGAACTGATATTGAGAGTACCTTAAAAGAACGTATTTCTAAATTTATTTTTTATTCACTATCCCTTGACGAAAGTACAGATTTGTTAGATACTGCGCAATTAGCAATTTTCTATCTGATAGAATATCGATAAATCAAAGCCTAAAACACCCTTTTCAGGATCACAATATTTTCTACTCAATTTTTTTATATTTTCAATTTTCATAAGGCATTACAATGATTTGGATTAAAGTAAATTTATACCATGTGTTTAATTATTGTGAATTCTAATGATTGTTTACAGTTCTATTTCAATTTTGACATTAATGTATCTGTAATCTATATGTATACCTATTCTCTAATAAATACGTTCAAAAGGCAAAATTATGGACCACCTTTTTCACGGAGAGTTAATTCAAAAGTGATGGCCCTGAAAAGGGCCTTTTTATAGGTGTTGAATAATAATAAGCAGCAAGAGTTTAAGCACGTTCACCACGGATACGACGAGCCAACTGGATGTCTTTAGGCATGATCGTGACACGTTTGGCGTGAATGGCGCACAGATTGGTGTCCTCGAACAGACCGACCAAGTAAGCTTCGCTGGCCTCTTGCAAAGCCATGACGGCGGAACTCTGGAAACGCAGGTCGGTCTTGAAATCCTGTGCGATTTCACGCACCAAACGTTGGAACGGCAATTTG